TAGGATGTATTTTATTAAGAAAACTATTTGCCATTAAAATAGCCTCCCCCACATGTTCTGTGGTAAACTCGAACTTATTAACATGGTATTCATCATTTCTTTAAGTATTCGATTTTTGCGTTCTGCAACACCATTTGATTGAGGAGAGTAAGGTGCCGTTGTTTGATGAACAATTCCATGTTCAGAACAAAAGTCTTCAAACGGTGCCCCATATTCACCTCCTCTATCACTACGAATATTTTTTATTCGTTTTTCAAGTTGTGTTTCAACTTCAACCTTATAGATTTTGAATGCATCTAAGGTTTCGTCTTTACTTCTCAAAAGAAAGACATAACAAAATTTTGTACAATCATCAATAAATGTCACAAAGTATTTCTTACCACCTCAAGTTTGTATAAATTTTAGATCGCATATATCATTATGGATCAATTCAAGAGGGGTTGTGTTCCTTTGTATTAAATGAAACGGTGTTTTAGCCAATTTTGCTTCAATACATATTTCACATTTATGATTAACATTGATTTTATGCGCCGAAATTAAACTTTGATTTATTAGTTTGCGTAACGATTTGTAATTCACATGTCCTAATCGACCATGCCACAAACATGAAAGCTCAAGCAAGTAAACGAAATTTATAGTTTTATTCATAACGACTTGTTTCGGTACAATTGTAAGAACGCTCAACTTGAACATTCCATCACACATATATCATTTCCCTACACACATCTCATTTTTAGACAACACAAATTTATGGGATACAAATATAAGTTTAAAACCATTCTTGCTAAGTAGAGACCCGAACACTAAATTCTTTCTTATATCCGGCACATGTAGGACGTTGTTGAGGACGAGTTCTTTCCCGGATGTCATCTTCAAAGTGACTTTGCTTTGTCCTTCAACTTTGGAACTTGCAGAATTTCCCATGTATAGTTGTTCCCCATTCAATTCTTGATAGTTGGAGAGCATCCCCTTGTCCGCACACACATGGCGGGTAGCGCCGGTGTCAATCCATGATTCTCTAATATTTCCAATCATGTTGCATTCGAACACTACTACAGATAAACTCATTTCTTGCAATCCATCAGATAGAGTGTTATTTGCAACCATGTGAGCTCGAGCATTCTTCTTTAACTTTCGACATTCACTTGAACGATGTCCAGCCTTGTCACAGTTGTAACAATTCCCTTTGAACTTCTTAGCCTTCTTGGAATTGTCTCTTCACGGTGCATAATTAAGAGTCTTTCGTTTCTTGTTTGTTGCCTTTGGTTCCATTTCAACAAAATTTGCACCATCTTGATCAACCGGCCTCCGTTCGATTTTTCGATTGTCCTCTTCAATCCTCAAGTGAACAATCAATTCTTCCAAGTTCATTTCCTTGCTTTTGTGCTTGAGGTAATTTTTGAAATCTCTCAACATAGGAGGGAGTTTCTCAATAATGGCAGCCACTTAGAATGATTTACTCAATTCCATTTTCTCGACGTGGATGTCGTGTAACAAGACTTGAATCTCTTGCACTTGACTAATTATGTTTTTGGAATCCACTATCTTGTAGTCCAAAAATTTGCCAACAATGAACTTCTTTGTTCCGACATCCTCGATTTTGTACTTTGTTTCCAAAGAATCCCATAGTTTCTTGGCTGATTCCTTTGAACTATACACCCCATATAGTGTACTATCCAATGCGTTTAGGATATAGTTCTTGCATAGGAAGTCCGAGTGTTTCCATGCATCCAAAGCAATAATCGATTCACGATTATTTTTCCCTTCTTGTACAGCCGGTGCAGTTTCCTTTAGAAATTTAGCCAAATTAAGAGTGGTAAGATAAAACAACTTCTTTTGTTGCCACCTCTTAAAGTCTACTCCTGCAAATTTTTTCGGCTTTTCTTCATGTGGGATAGTAGTATTATGCAATGGTATGGCCACGGGTGGTACCACATTATTGGAACCACTTTGACTTGACGAAGTCCCGATGGTAGTAATTTCTTTTACACAAACAGAAGTTCAACAAAATGATGATAATATCGATGGAGGAATAGTACACAAAGTACTATTCAAACAAAGTAATGTTTGTCCACAACCAACCACAAAGACACACAAATTTGTTTTAAGATTGTTGGAGACAACTTATAAAAAAAGGGTTATGTAAGGGTTGATTTTTGATATATTTGTTTGACTAGTTTTAACCCGTAAGAACGTGATCAAAACACAATTTATATGAATGAAAATTTGGACAGAGTTTCGGTATAAAGATTACGTAAAACAAGGATTAAGAAGGAGTAGAAATAGAGAATAATCCAAAGCGAGACGTTATCTCTTTCCTTAAGACAAATTATCTCGCTACGGTGCTCACAGTGAATGGCACTTGTCTTCCAAGATACAATGGATTCACAACTTGTGGTATCAGCAATTCAGACCACAAAAAATCGACGAACTTTTAACAGAATTTCCCCTCTACAAAGAAAATGTATGAAATGCTATAGAATTAGAAAGAAGAGAATTGCAAGAGAAGAATGAATGCTCAAAGCAATTGGTGTTCCCAAAATCATGTCCATAGGGTTCTATTTATAGATGTAGAAAGAGTGCAAATGAAGTAGTGTGGACCAAAACATGCATCCTTTCAAAAAAGTTGTAACACTTGGCCAAAACCTGCACCTTTCGAAAAGTTGCAATCTTCATTTATTCCAACTTTGGTCCGCAATTTCTCATTCATGCGGAATTGGTTTCGAGATTCCAAATATACCACAACGATCTACTCGACGAGTAGAATAAGTTGGTCTATTTACTTTTGTAATTTGACCATCGGATCAAGTCCGAATATTTGGTCGAAGATGACACATAGTCACACCTTTTCATTTTCCATTTTTTACACACCTTTTCATTTTCCAATTTTTACACACCTTTTCATTTAATATTTGAACCAATTCCTACGGGTGCGTCGTCCAGTGGATGATCATTCATGAGTCGATATAATAATTTTCAGAAATCCAAACTATCAATCTATATTTGGATTGATAACAACTATGAGTGAATCAATTGCTATATTCAGGCCTTGTTTGAGTTCCATTATTTTCTTATTAAAATGAAAAATATGATCGTTATCCATCACATCAAGCCGTCATATTTGACTATTTATCTCTTGTGTGGGACCCATAATCACTATTTTTTTCATTCTCATTTTTACAATAATGTGGCTAAAACGAGGGCTCAATCACGTGATCATGACACACTTTTATTTATTTAAATTCATAGTCAACGCATACTTTTTAGCTTACTTTTTTATTTTTTTAATCAAGGACTTGAAGATGCACAATTTTCATAATGGGTGCCAACAAACTTGATAGGAACTAGCTAACCTCTATTTATTTTGATATTGCATTGAATAAGTAATGTAATAACCATCCCAAGCCAGCCAATTTTATGAGATCGGGTAGCTTATACTTAACCATTGTTTGGTGGAGATTAAAATCATATTTTGAGCAGATTTTGATAAAAGTTAATGAAATGTGTGGTTGAAAGTTATTACTCTAATAAAATATTTTGTTCACCCTCAATATTTTATTTTTATTTAGTACCTTTTAACCACCAAGTAGATGCGATCAATCTTTGACCCTTTATTCTTTTTTCAGGCCTAATATTTGAACCAATTTTTAAAATATTGCATCAAAGAAATTAAAATTGACTATATAAAAGAGCTCTTGTCGATCATGGCACCAAACATGCTAGATCTTTCTAATATTATAATTCATATTTTTTTTTTATCAATTTTTCAATCATATATTTTATTAATTTTTATTAAAATCAATTAAAAATTTAATTTTTATCCAAACCAAACAAGGATTAAATGTTAATTCATAAAGGGCCTCTCGTATAAATCTTCAATAACTATTAAGCAAGCTTGTTAAAATAAAATGCATGTCGTACAAGGCACTCAAGTTGAGTTACTTATATTTAATAGAAGAGTCACTTAATAGAGGAAATCTAATGAAATTACTTATTGAAAATTTTGAGAATGGGGAAATTTCATAGCACTTTCAAAATATGTAGATTCTCAATAATGCACTTGTTTGAACTTACATATACGGAGAGAGGCATTCTTGTGACATGTATTTTTTCTTAAAATATCGGGTTCTATTGGATATTATTTTCATGTTTATAGGATTTTACATTTTAGTTCATTTTTATATTGATTGGAGAATTTTTTTTAATATTATTTAATTAAATATTAATAAATGATCTTGTTATTGCGGTCGTGGATGATCGACAATCAACGATCAATGATAGCCCTAGCTCACGGCAATTCCTGTACCTGCCACTACATAGACGTCAATATTCATTAATAACATTACCAACTTAGGAATGCAATTCAAGGGATAGGTAGGTATTCTTATTAGCTGTTATCAAATTGCTTAAAGACAAATATAGTTCACAAATTTACATGTAAGTATTAAGATTTGCATTTTAAAAGTGTTCATTTGAAAATGTTAATTTTAGAATTTATGTACTCATTTGAAATTTAGTCTAATCGAATTGCTGTTTGAGCTTCACAGCTTTTCAAACCATATTAATTAAGATTTGAGATTTCATTTTAAAAGATTGATTTTGTTTAGAGGAGTAATCAAAACATTTATGCTAATTTATATTTTTATATTTATTCGCTGGACGATTTATGGTGGAGTAAACCAGTATGAACCTCTCAATTCAAAGGATATGTAGGTACTCAATGACATTCTTCTCAATTGGTGAAGATGCATTTCTTTTAATGTAAACATACTGACGCGTATGGGTGGATATTATAAAGTGATAAAAATGGAGACTTAAGAGGTGGTTTGACAAAGATTTTCATAAAAGTTTTAGCAATTTTTTATAAAATTTGATGAAATATGAGGTTGAAAAAATGATAGATATTGTGGGTTTTATGAAATATATGGATAAAATTAATTATTGAGTTTGACCTCAACATTTTAAGTTAAATATAATTCCACAAGAAAAACGAAACTTCATACAAACTCAATACAAATAAATATGGAATTTAAACTAAAAAACTCACATCTGATCTCAACAAAACAAATTTCAAATGGTAGAAGAACACACACACAACCAAAAAAAAAAAAAAAGGAGCTGAAATATTAGGTCAAGATTAATCAAATCAACCCTAATTTTTCAAAGGCGTGTTAATGGCTCTGCATGATCTTCTGATCTCTCCTTGTGCACCCGTGAGTACTTCAACTGCACCCAACTTGACCATGGCCTGTCCAAATCGTGTCGAAAAGTCAAACCCTTTAGCAATGGCTGCAACTGTGAGGTTGGTTAATGGATCAAGGGCTAGTTCTTGATCAATTTGGAGAATTCCTCTACGTAAAATGATTTGTCTGTAGTAAGAATTGTCTACAGTCATTGAGCTCAAAGGGTTTTGATCAAGATTAACTGGGTTATCAACAGTTGAATTCTGTGGGCATCTTCTTTTTAATGTGTTTAGTAGTGTGGTATCCATGGTTGGATCAGGTTTCCCTGTGTTCTGGAAGTTGTAGAGACGATCTCGAAAGAGCGAACAATGAGTGATTCCGACCGTATGGCCACCTGCGACAAAGGATACGTCGAAATTTAATGCTGTCCTTTAATAATCCATCTATATTTTTGGGCAATTAGCCTCAAATCCTAATAAATGGAGAGAGAACTCCATTTATATCACTAACAATAAGGAAGAGCTGAATTGAGTTACCTACCAAGAAGATAAACCATGTCATTAGAATTAAGTCCTTTCTTGTTGAAAGCATTAATGGAATTCGATACTGATATTGAAGGAGCCGGCAGATTCACATTATTAGCAAGGGACACTGTTCCATCTCTTCTTCCTGTCTGTACAATATATCTCCCTCCTCCACTCTACAATATGCACAGTCAAACCTAAAAATAAGTAACTTATTTTGAAAGTAATTTCTACCTTCTTATCAAAATAAGTATTTTTTATTTTTTATTTTTACCAGGGCAACAGCATCTCTAGTGGCCATAACAATGATATCAGCACAAGAAACCACTCCTGGACAGATTGACTCCACTACAACTTTGGCTGCATCAATTATTTCATAGCCTCGAACACTCAGATTAGGGATTGCAGTTTTCTCTGAATTATTTCCATCCAACAGGATTGATGCATCACACCCCTAATTGTATCATTAATTTCAAGTGATGAAGGTTAATTAAACAAAAGAATAATTATGATATCATATGAACACTTGTATTGTTCTATATGCTTTGCATTGTATTTATAGTTGATATAATGTAGCTCTAATAGAATGTGTTAAAAGAGTCAACGAAAGTGTCACAATGTAAGCTTTTGATTCTAGTAGAATGTATTAAAAGAGTCGACGAAAGTGTCATGATGTAAGCTTTTGATTCTAGTAGAATGTGTTAAAACGTGTACGAAACTGTCACACGTGTTGGCGTTGGATTCCAAAATAGTGTCACATGTTAAGGATTCAAATATAGTTGCCACCTATTCATAAAAATTCTAATGAAAAATAAATAAATATATGTCGCTCTCTCTTCATGTTTAAACTTTTAGATGACATAATTCAATATATTAATTCAGGCGGATCAAATCTTACCATCACATTTATAGAAATGGTGTTGGTATTGATTAAAAAAGAGAAAAGTGATTTTGAAAGAGCACGTTGAACCCATAATGATTGAAATGCATTGGCATGCCAAAAAAATTTATGTAGCTAACTTCAAATTCATTAGAAACATTCTATTCGCCATTTCAGTATTTATAGTAGACACTATGAAATAGAATTAACCAAAAAAGAGTTAAAAAAAATAAAGCAAACGAAGCTTCAATCTTTTAAATATATAAAACCAAAATTTTCTAAAGAAAATATTCTTACATTGACAAAGCAATCATGAAACTGCATGCGGAGGAGAGCAGCTACAATTGTAGGATCCCTAGAGAACCATGCTCTGATAACACCACCCACAATCGCCTCCACGTCGACCGTGCGGCATTTTCCTCGATAGAACCCTACTTGTAATGCACCATTGCACGACCCAGAAAAGGTAGCGAAAATGCAAGCTAAAGCTAATGTAGTTGTATATGCTTTAGACATTTTCGAAAAAATGCTTTACTCTTTTCTTTCTTTTTTTGTGAAAGGTAGTGAATATTTTTTTTTAGTGTTGTTGTAATTTGAAACCTCGCTTTCTGCTATTTATACAAATGGAAATAGGTTCTTTATTGTTTAGATGAATTGATGCATGGTTTGCACGACATAGGATGTTCATATTATAAGAACGTGCAGTCATGTATAGGGAAAGTTAAATGTTAGTTTTGATTAAGTGAATGTTTGGCTAAAAGCTTAGGAAATATAAGTTTAATTATAAGTAAATATTAAAAAATATATATTTTTTGGTCTGGTCAAAATAAGAAAAAGGAAAATTTACAGATATGGTTTAACCTATTGAAAATGTTGCAAGTAGGGCCCTAACCTAATATTTTGGAATTCTCATTTTTGTAACTTTTGGAAGGCAACTTGATGGTTTAAAAGTGTAGCTATGATCATATCACGGGTTTTTGTTTGCAACTCATATTTTAATTATAAAGTCTCCAACTTTTACTTGCACTTGTATTTATAACTTTTTTTCAATACATTCTTATCGTTAACCTTCAATTAATTAACATATTTTTTCATTTATAACGACTGCAGTCAAAATATTCTTTTAGCATGCTATGAAATAAGGGGTAGGTATTTTTTTCAACTTTGTATTGTATTTGTTTTTTCTGCTAATATGAAAATATGAGGAGCATATACATTTTTCTACACCCTTCGAACAACATGGTGGACAAAAATCGTCACAATGGACAAGATGAAATGTTGAGGAGACCGAAAAAGTATGACGATGAACAAACAAAGACTGTGGTGTAGATATAATTACCCTTTCTTTAATTAAAAACTCAATTTTTGTTATAAAGACAACTTTTAAGTAAACAAATAATAATAATAATAACGGAAAAAGTAAAAATGATAGAAAAAGCAAAATCCAACCAAGCCTTCCAAAGTCACCCTGCAACCCTAGTGGATTTCATTGGCTTTTCTTATTATTTGTCTGTTCTATTTTTTTCCTTTTTTGTTTAATTAAATATAAGGGTTATAATAATTATCTCGTGGGGACTCGAGGCCTGCAAAATTAGAAAAGGTCGGAGACTAAAATCATCAAAATAATATTTTTAAGGACCTCATTGCTACACTTCCAATAGATCGAGGACCCTACTGAAATTTTCTATATAATACGTAAGTCACTTATTAATTATTATTGTCCTTGTTTTACTTTTAAGTAATAAACCGTAACTTTCCAAACATGTTTGGTAGCAAAAATTTGGTTAAAATATTTTTAAGCTAATTTTAAACGTAGCCAAACATGGCCGTAGAATTAAATTCAATTGGTAATAGTGAATGAACCTATGAAGTCAAACTAATAACATATGATTATATGTAGTTTCAAAATGATTAAGGAAATTAAATTTGGATTAATTAAAATTTTAATGACCTATTAGGACTCTATATGACTTAATTATTAATTGTTTTTGGTTGAATGTCAGACTTGGATAGTTGAAAATGGGGAAGAGAGTAGTACTAAACCATTCATCACATTTAATAAACTTTGTTTTAGGTGGAATTATCATTAATATAATTAAACAACATTAATGAGCAATGAGATGTAGCCCTTATTTGAGTCCCATTTTGAGGGAAAAATATATTTTAGAATAGTGTTTTTCGGAGAATGTTTGATTAAAAAATAAGAAAAAAATTTGATTTACGTATGAAATTATTATATTGAAAAATGTATGGTTGAAAATGAATTTAACAAAATGAGTTTTTCACAGAATGACGCTCGAACGAGGGCAAATTTCTTTCGGTAGCATCACCTCAATAAACTAACATGCTGTCCTCCCTTTTTATCTATGCCTTTTCTAAATGATATGCACAAGAGAGAACGTATTAAAAATAAGAACTTCATATTCACAGTATGAAGAACAAGGCCGAAAATACATCCCCAAGGCTCCATGTTCTCATTTCAAATTCTTTTCCCAGCAAAGCAAGTGATATCCAAAGCCAAAAATAAGTGAAATTTTGAGGGCATGTGAGAGAATCCCAAACGTATTATTAACTTCAAGAACGAGTTTTTGTTGAAAATTTACTTAATATGCACTATGGAAATTAAACAAAATTTTCGATTCATATCAAGAATCTTCTTTGTGCTTGAAAAAAACTATGATGACGAATTATACATTTGATGAATTCATTGAAGAACACTTTTGATCTGCAATCCACAACTATCCAATCGTTTAGCCTTTAAAGAAAATCCACACGTGGGACAAGATTGAAAGACTTAAGATTTATTTTTATTTTTTTTTGTACTAGCAAGAACGTGAAATTATATTCTCTATAGATTTTTCAACCCTAGCAACATGGTAATATAAGTTGAAGTGAACTTGGTCAATCTCTTAAATTTAACCCAGTCCAATATTTAATTAATCTAATTAATTAAATTTTGTCCATAAATTAATTAATCCAATTAATTAATTCTGATATATAAATAAGCAACCTAATTAATTAATTCTCCAATATTTGTTAATTATTTAATTGGTTAATATCATTCTGCTAGTTCTCATTTTGTGTGTGACACATTAGGTTTTCGATCACGATGTGGACGTCAATTATTATATTGATATAATCAAAATCGATAATTTAGATGCCCCATTTTAATTTATCATAAATTCACATCCCTCGTCCCAATTGACACTAGCAATGTGTCAGGACAATGCATGTGACGAAAAATGTCACATGATATGACAAAACCAAACGTATTCATTTATTTGAAACGATAATCATTTTATCAATATGATCCAATCAATTGCGAGAAATGAATATGTGTTAATCTCAGTTATCGATCATATTTTTCATCACACTATTTAAGTCAATGTAAGTTGAAAAAAAAATCCATTTTTGACTTATAAATACACATTGGTCAAGATTTGGTTATCAACTTATTTAAATAAAATGTAGAGCATAATCTCTTACTATCTAAGAACGATGAATTTTCTATTGATCATTCACAACCTAATATAATTCTTAACATACCCGAACGATATCATATTAACAGCCTCTGACAGAGCAACATTCAACATTACCAAAGTATGAATGTTCTCATATAAGGCACTATGATAACCTCAATTCAAAAAACAAATTTCACTACCTAATGTTAGAAATTAACCACTGGCACTCGGATAGTTATCCATGTAGAATCTCCCAACGAGTCTCAAATGTTTTATTCTATAACAAAAAATAAACGCGTTCGTTTAAATGTCACCATATTTTAACATGTGAAATCAACTACTTACTTCACAAGTAAAAAATACTATACGTAATGATTTGTCTGTAATAACGATATCTATATCACATTATTACTTACAACCAAAGATGTTTTAAGATTCAGTCATCTGTAATTTATACCTCATAATTTCAATTCTTGGTGATTAACAATTACCAAAACTTGAATCTACGAATTCTTTTAATTAATTTATTAAGATATTACTTAAATTAAATAATAGATCTGCCACAAATAAAATGTATCAATTATATATTAAAAGTGTTCATATCCAAAGTTGATTGAATTAGGCATAACACTTGCATCAGACATGAATCTAGTTTATAACAAGCTTGGCCAAAGAAAGATTCGTGACATAAACAAAAGGAAAATGCAACAGAAACATGGTGTTGCTTCATAAATAAGTTTTATTTCAAGAAATTGACTCAATCTTGCACTTGGTCAGATTCCTTCTTCTTCGATCCATAATACCATCCAAAAGCAGCCAAAGCAGTTGCAATACCGGCTACAACGGCATAGTTTCTATAGTTGTCAGTCGACACTTTGGGTGTCGAAGAGGTCTGGCCACTTTGTTTGGCATCAGATACTGAACCCGAGCCTCCTGAGCCTGTTGCAGGTGTTTTTTCTTGTTTTGGGCCCTGGGAATGATCGTAACCGTAAATCACATGTTGAAACTTAAATGTTATAATCCGAGAAATAATACAAAACAAGAACGAATAGTAGGAAGCTTCGAATCTAATACGTGTTGCAGAAACCTCGAATTCACATGTGTGCACAGTTGCACATTGTAACAGATCTAAAAATATGCTTCCTGTCAATTGAACAAATAAAGATTTACAAAGTTCCCGTCAGCATAAAAACAATACATTAGCATTTTTTGGCTAAGCTTAAAAAGTTAGGGTGCATTTAATTGGTATTTCTATTTTCTGTTTTCTATTTTGGGAAATTATTTTAAAATTGCAGAAAAAACATTTGATTTGTCATTTGAAAAACTATTTCTCAAAATAAAAAACTACAAAATGCGTTTGGTTTAAAAATTTTAGAAATGGCTTTATGAATTTTTTTTCCAATTAGTTTGATTATTTAGTAAATCATATCAATTTTATGCTAATATATAATTAAAAAATATATAAATTTTAACGTTGGTAAAAAAAATGAATCATTGTAAAATCGAGAGATGACATAAAAAAGATGAATTCTCCACTAAGGTTTTTGGATTAGCTTGAGACAAAAGAGAGATTGAGATATGAGCATTTGTATTTAGACAGATTTTGTGTGATTTTATTAATTATTTTAATTTGACGTCAATAAGTCATTTTGTGTTTTCTTATTTTTGAAAATAACATGCCAAACAGGCTTTGAGTGTTATAGAAAATTGAAAATTAAAAATTGCCTCAAAACGGCAAACTAAATGCAATCTAACTTCTAATAAATTAAGTTTCAAACAAAATAGTTTTTTATTGCTATCAACCTTTTAGTGTACCTCATAAGCCACATGGGGCCAATGAGCACAATAAACTATTCATGTGGGTAAGAGCCGTAAACTAGGCTTACTACATGTTAGGTTCTGATTTTTCACCTCAAAAAAATCAATTTTTTAACCGTTAATTTCTTGAGCCAGTCATCAATTTTGATATCTTCTCTCACAGATGGAACCCACTTTTCTTTCTAAAAGTCAAAAAATCAATTCTCATAATCACTACGGAATAAGCCCTTAACTGTTTTGGCACTTAGATAAAACTTATTTTAAACTAACTTTTCTTGCTTAACCCTTATTTGACTTGCTTATTTTTACCAAATTCTTATTTTCTCAAACTCATTTTTGATCATACATTCTCTCAATAAAATATTCTACATTTAAGCCCAAAACTTTTTCTTACTATTTAACCACACATTCTCCCAAAAAATAAATAAATAAATAATAATAAAAATTCATTATTCCAAAACTCATCCCCCCTCCCCCTCCCCACCCCCACAAAAAATAAAAAGATAAAAAAAATAAATAATAATAAATAAAAAGACTTTTTACAATGGTTAGGGCCTTGATGTAATTCGGAAATAAAAGTTACTTTCACTCCTTTTTTTAAATCTTAGCCAAACATTTATTTGTACTTCATCATGAAAGGCCTACTCAGTCTTATCTGACTCGGTCGAATCCATTGGATTAGTGTTTAGCAGCTTCCACCAAAACTTTGATAACTAATTGATCATCTAATCAAATCTATTCGATGCAGTCTCTTGACTCAAAACCTCAGAAATAAGCCGTATACATAATTTATAAATATATAGCATAGGTATACCTCACGAGCAAGTTTCTCCAACTTCTCTTGCTCCTTTTTCTGCGAACATTGCAAAAGTTTCAGCAGTCAGAAAATTCTGAACAGTTTAGAATCAAGTGTTAAGACGTCTCATTGCTGAATGCAAGAGTAAGAGTGCACACCTAGAACAAAATAAAAAATAAAAATAGAACAGCCATTGAAATCGATTCATTCAACCCCCATTCAATAGAATCACATATAAACCAAAAGAGAAAAGAGTTCAAGCTGGTAAACCCAAAAATATGCAGTCATTGTTGTGTCGAAAAGCACAGAGACCTACACCTTTTAACTAAATAAGATAAGTTTTGACAACTTGAACTAGACTCCAAAGTTGAAGCTGAGTAAGGAGTAAAACTGGTATATTGGGATGCCAAACTAAAAGAGAAGAATAAAACAAAAGACCTCATTAAGACATAATGAGGGGAGATGATAACATGGAAGAAGATTACGACCATCAGGTGTTTGAGAAGAGTTGTATCCTTCTTATTTTATTTAGCAACTAAGTGAAACTACTCTTCGTTATGGAATGCTTTAGTATGTAATCGATTTAAATGTCTTGTAACTCTAGTTCAATGTTAGAGCCACTTATTGACATTAATGTATCCTTTGCCACATTTATTCCTTAATAATTTTTCATATTTTTCTAACATTTTTTACATGTTCGTGCAAATTTGTGTATGTTATTTAACTTTAAAAAACATTTTATGTTTTAAAAAAATAGTCGAAATCAAAAAATTGTGGAGCATATGCCCTTTCCACTATAGATTAAATGCCTCACTTATGCCTTTGCATTTAAAACACAGCTCAAGGTGAATTAATAAGAATATAGTACTTAGCTCTCTTGCAGATAGCTAATAATGTCATACATTTTGAACTTTTACAGAATAAAGAAGCAATACTCTCTCATCAAGAAATTAAAAGACAAGTCCTGATGACCGCTCATCTACTCAGAAGTCAGAATGCACCATATGACTTAAGGATGAAGATAATTGGCTAGTAGAAGAGAATAGCGATTTTTTAATTTTTATTTATTTTTAATATGAGAAGACCAGTAAATATATGCAGTAAGATTTAAAAAGAATAAGGTTCTCATCTACTCAGAATACATCATATGATTAAGGATGAAGATAATTGGAGGAAACATCAGCTCAGAGTAGCAATTTTTTTTTTTTTTTAAAGGAAGACCAGTAAATATATGCAGAAAGATCTTAAAACAATATGGTTCAATGTGAGCAATCCTTGAATTATATATATATATATATATATAATTCAGTTTAATTAGAGCAAGTTTTAACTTGATTAACGTGTCTGCCTAATACCAGACAAATATTTGCTCAAGCAATATAGTAATCGATGAAAACGCCTGTATTACTCATCAAAAAATACATTCGTCCAATTCCATATATAGCATCAAACCAAAAACTTCTATAACTGACTCGTAAATTCAATATGATATATGCATAGATTTGAGAAAATGAGAAAACCGTTAAAAAGTTTCAGTTAATTCATGCTTTGGGCACACAACAGAAGTTTTTCTTTTTCAGGGGGGAGGGGGGAAGATTACTTATAGTGAAGATGATCATAGAAAATGCAAACAAACAAGCAACAACTTCAATAGCACCGTCAACTGAAAATAACTGCAGGTCTTGTGCCAAAATTCAACTTTACCTTGATGTAGACATTTTCTGCAGCTTTTTCCTCCTCACTCAGTACTCGGCCATTGCTTGAGAGCCGGCGAGATACATATCTCATAGCAGTTCTAAGCGCCATTGAAACGCTAGAGTTTCCTGTCAATATGATAAATTCCATCACTAAGTATTGAAAGTGATAGATTTATTTATAAATGCGTCGAATATAGGAGCATCCTAACTAACTTGGCAATTAGCCAAGGCCACTGATTGTTCAAATTTCAAATAAATAGCTCATCACATAGTTGGATCAGCATGGCATATTAAACTATGCTCTTAATAACCGAAAGAAGCATAGTTGGATCAGCACCATATTAAACTACACTCTTAAAAACCAAAAGGAGGTAAAATTGACAATATTTTTATCGAATGTGCGTCCATGTACAATACATGTCAACATGTAGATTAAGCCTCTGTTTGGCAAAATTTATGAATCATTATAATTGATCAAACTTCATTTTCAACAACACATTCCAACAAACCGACTAGTAGTATTCACTTATCCACCACTTATTTCTACAATTTATAAATTAAACCGTGAATATAAATACTTCCCAAGGAGAGGCAAAATTTTTCTTGGAGACTATAATGTGAACGCAGATTTAATGCATCTTTCCCAATAATGCAAACCAAAATGAACAATCTATAATGTGAATATACGGATTTTTCATATTAAGTATAAATTGGGCCATTCTTCATGTTTTGGAAGCTATAGAGCATGTTTGTATAAATTATAAGTCGATCGGACTTATTAATACATTTTCATCCAAAACATGTCTGCGGTGCTTACAACTATCTCTTTTTTCTTACAAGTAAAAAGAGTGAATATACGGATTTTTCATATTAAGTATAAATTGGGCCATTCTTCAACTAATTAGATTTTATTTTTCTCTATCCTATTTTCAACTATACAATCTTCCATAAAATAATATTACCTCATAAATCAGAACATTCTCCAAAAAAAAAATACTATTCCACCCATTAAAATTTGAAATAATGGGGGCCAACCGGGAGTTAATTTGCAAGTGACATCAAAATAAGTAAGTTAATTTCTGGTTGACCAATGAAATGACTTGTATATCCAAGGTAACTCATCAACGCAAACTTAAAATCCACAAGATCTCCAACATGGCTTACGAGACTACGCTTAAAATTCCACACCTCAATTGGATAAATTAAACCCAAAAAAAATTAAAAAAATAATAATAATAAAAATCAAATGAATAGATACAAGATTAAAAGTTCAATACATTAACAGATGCACACATAACCTCATCCACATCAGTCAATGATTCAATAATGAACTCTCAAACTATATGTATGGGTATATTTCAAACAATACAGTAATACTAATATTATTATAATCTCCAAAAATCAACATGACCCAAAAATAAACAAAATAAAGTTAAAAAAGACCACGAAAATACAATAAAAAGAGGGGGGGGGGGGGGCCC